GGGGGGGGTGGGGCGGGGAGGGGCGGGGCGCGGGGACCGGGGCAGAGGACGGGCGGCCCTGCTGCGCCTGCTCATTCTGCTCGCGGCTGCTTCCTCTGCCGGAGCTGTCCAGGAGCCCACGTCGGGTTTAGCAGTGGAGGCTTGGCGCCTGCGAGGCACTTGAGGCGAGTTTGGGGCTAATTTCGGAACTTTTCTTTTCTTTCCAGGACGGACCTCCAGCGGAGCTCTCTGCTCATGGCTGATTGAGGGATTTATTTGGACTCTGCGAATGATGGCAGTGATTTGTATTCATTGCATGCATCTGTTGGGCCAGTGAAATCTTTTTCCCAAGTGGATGTATTTATTTGGGCTTTTGGGATGACTATGTTTAATTAAAAAAAATGAAAGAAAAGGCTAAAATGTAGCAAGCTTGTAAAAAAAAAAACCCTCAAGCAATGCACACAAGTAAAATAGAAACAAGCTTCTCTTAATCTTCAACTGTATTTTTGTGTATACCTTATCAAAAAATTTTTTGTATGGAAGTCTTTAAAATTGTTTTGTAACTTGCTTTTCCTACCTAGTAAATTATGGATATCTTTTCACGACAGGACATGATACGTGAATGACTTTTTAAAAAAAAAAACAACTGGTGTTTTGGGCCGGGGCATTTAGCTCAGTGGTTCTGCCGCCTGCCTCACAAGCGCAAGGTCACAAGTTCGATCCCCGGTACCAAAAAAAAAACAACCCCAAAACAGATGTTTAATATGGGAAGTACATGATTTAAAACATGGACATTTAGGTTGTTTCCAGTTTTTACTGGCATAGATGATGAAACAATGAATATCATTTTATGTACAGTCATGCAAATGTACAAATATATTCGTGGAAAATTCTTAGAAGTGGAATTGCAGTAGTGGGAGAAATTTGAAATTTGAATTGAAAAATTTTGTCAAACCATGCATATTAGAATATTTTAGTCTTTATTCTTCTCTTTCCCCTCGCCCTTTATTTTCCTGGAAGAAAGCTAAATTTAGAGCTTTAAACATGAAATTCCCTTCTAAAACTCCTGAAAATCTGAGTTCCAAGTGTTTGAAAATTAAGGCTTTAATTTCGTACTTAACAGCATTGAAGTAGTTATACCTTGAGAATCATTGTGGAAAACAAGGTAAATATTGGGGATCAAACTCAGGTCCTTGTGCTTTCAAGGCGGGTGGGGGAACCACTGAGCTAAATCCCCAGCCCCACAAGGCAAATATTTTAAAACACTTTAAAGTATTTCATATAAAGTTTTCCTGTGGGTGTTAGTGCAGTTAGGCAGAGAGTTACATCTAGATAACCTAATGTGATCAGACACACAGAATAGAGAGAAGAGTACGGTAGGTGTACACTCCATCTTGACTTACTAAGCATTAACAAAGAACTTTTTAAAAAAACTTTTTTGGTTTTTCTATTTTACTGTTAAAAATGTGTTGCACAGTTTTGGCATTTTTACACAATGTCGGGCTTACAAAAGGAGAAAAATGTTTAACATCAACATAGCCAAAAAGGAGGTAAGTCCTAATCATTTCACACGGGGTCTTTCTTTTGGGGAGAATAGTTTCAAGTTACTTTTGGTTTTATATGGACTGTTCTATTTTTCTTTTTTCTTTTTGGTATGGGGGAATCAAACTTGGGACCTTGCGCTTGCAAGACAGGCGCCGGAACCACTGAGCTAAATCCCCAGCTATCTGGAATGTTCTAATCTGTGTATCTAACATATTACCATAACTCCTGAAATGCAAAAATATGAACCAGCCATTAAGAATGAGGTCTGTCCTGGGAAGGATGATGGATGCTTTTAGTCCCAATTACTCTGGAGGCTATGGCAGGAGAATCATTTGAGTCCAGAAGTTTGAAGCCAGCAACATAGTGACACTC